TTCTGATCTGTGCTCCTGTGTCTCTAGGAGTTGGACTTGACCCTGTGGCTGTAGTGCTTCCAGGTTCTCACTACAGGAACAGCCCTGAGTTCAGACAGCTTCTATGGAATAACAAGCCAAGTATGGCGTCAACCTGCCTCATGGCAATCCCATAGGTGTGTCATAGGGCTCTCAATGACCAATTTCCCCCTGGAAGTCGATAGCCAGGTACCTGTGGGTGAATTTGAACTTCCCACCAACCTTCCAGTTAACAGCCAAGTGTGTTAACCGTTGCACCACCCAGGGACTCCTTCCTTGGAATGGACTCCTAGAAATAAAATTCCTAAGCCCAAGGGCACTAAACCTTGCAAGGACGTTTTCTAAGAGCGTTGCTCCCATGTATTACATGCGGGGCAACCGTGCTGGGCACCCCACTGCCTCTTCCTAAAGGAAAAGCAATCCTGCCCACTACTGGCCCCGTCCTCCCTTTATTCTCGGTCTCCTTAAAGCCAGCCCGAGGGAGCTCTGGGTCTTTGGCCTGGCGCCCTGCTCCTTCTTGTCCGGGCAGGATTCAGAGCCAAAGCTGTCATGCCTCTGCCTGTCTCCCACCTTCCTTCTCACTTGGGATGTCTGTTCTGTACTCTGGCTTCCAGCTCAGGCCTCGCCCCACCTCAGCTCTAAAAACCTCCTTCCATCTATGGAGTGTTCGAGCCACAGCCCTGTAACTTCTCCAGTGGACAGGGGGGCGGCTTTTGCCACGGACCGTGAAGAAAGTCAGACAGAACAGTAGGCTGTTGCCAGGCAGTGGGCCACGTCCTGTTTGCACACACAAGACATAGCTGCTGCTAGCCTCAGGGGACAGGCTCCAAACCTTTCTTTGGGTTTAAGTGGGATGAGCTGTAGCTATGTCAGCCGAGCTTCTTAGGTGGGCTTTTGGGGCCAGACTTTGACCTACTTGCCTCTTTATCTCTTGGAATGCATTACCTGGCCGGCCAGGGCCTGGTCCCTCCAAGAGAGACCTCAACATCCTAAGCACAATCTAGTTTCCCTCGAGGTCTCCCCCGATTGTGTCCCCACCAAAAAGTACACAGTCAAGTGCTGGTAGCTGATAGCTGTAAGCGTGACCTTCTTTGGAAACAGGGCCTTTGCAGATACAGTCAAGTTGAGATGATATACTTGAGTAGGTCAGGCTTTACTAAGCAGAGAGAAATGCGGGCAAAGACGCAGAGGGGATACAGCCTCGTGATGAGAGAGACACGGAGTAAAGTTAAGTTCCCATAAACCAAGGAATCACCGGGAAGGCTGGCAACCACCAGGAGCTAGAAACGGCCAGGATGGCGTTGTTAGAGGAAACGGACCGGAGGACACCTCGATTGCAGACCTCTAGTTCCAGAGCCGTGAGAGAACAAATTGCTTCTGTTTTTAGCCACCTGATTGAGGCACTTTGTTTCAGTGGCCGCAGGCAACTAATAGGTCCACAAAGGTCCGTTTCCTGTAAACACCATTTCTCCACAGGGCTCCTACCAGGGTCCAGCTACCCCAGCTACCGTTGGGCAGACGCAAACTGTTTGCCCACCTCCCACCCTCCCTCTCACCTCACAAGCGGTACAGCGGTTCCCCAGAGGCTGTTGCTCCTCAGGTTCAGCTGCCTCCACCGGCCACGAGGAACCAGGGCTATGGCCCCAGTCAGCACAGCAGCCTTGGAGTTTGTATCCAGCGCTGGCTGTATCCAGTCTGACCCTTGATCTTGGCCGCAGCCTCCTACCAAGCCTACTCCACACAGTTTTGAACAAACAGCAAATCAG